TCTAATCTAGATTTGTTGGTAAAGCTCGCGAAGGTATCACCATGGTGAGACCTCACTTCAGGGAACCATCATTGGAATGGCCCTAGCCTCGGCGGCGCTGAGCAGTCCTGAGGTGAGTGCTCGCTCTTACTCGCCCAAGCCGCTCCGAAATCAAGCTGCCACGCCCGAAACCCTGAACCCTAAACCCTAAGCCCTAAACCCTAAACCTTTTCCGGATCCGCAAGTCTATGCTTCTCGAATCTTCTTGGGGTCTAGATAGATGCGGAGCACGAGGGTTCCGCGCCAATCTCCCACGGCTCCGATGAGCGCTCGATTGTCTGTGGTTCTGAAATATTACAATATCATTGAGTGCAAGGCAAGTCTGATAGAGGTTTAATCATGTAGTAGTTAAATTAGAGAATGACGAACCAGTTAGATACTAACTCAATACTACTCAACAACTCAATACCCATTTAACACTAGTTAAATACCATTTTTATGCGATGCTTAGACGGAGCACCTGCTACATCGGAAATCCCAGAAAAGAGTTTCATTCCTAGGAGCACAGAGTTCGCCGAGAAAAGGCCATCGTGCCAGGCGACATCCATTCTAAGCATCCTTTACTTGTCAGGAGAATCTCTGGGCAAGCCGGGGATATCAAACTGAATCAAACTGTGGGGCTTGCCTTCAGTTCAATGACGGAACCTTGAGTTGCGCTGACATTGTCACCTGCACACGGAAAAGCTGCAAGCTCGGGCTCTTCTTCCTGGACAGCACAGTGCCGTGCCCCGCTTTCTCCCCACCAAACACATCATCCCAATCGTCCCTCTTATCCTCTTCACATCAAGCGCTTTGCCCACTAACGGAAAGCTGCCCTCGGCTACGAGCATGGAACCAGGATGAGGGATCGGGGAGGAGATCCCGCATTGGGAGTCGTCAGGCAACAGAAAGCAGCTTGCTCACCGGTCGCGTAGCGGTTCGGCACGTGACAGGTTGAGTCACGATCTGTGCATACTTCCCGCTAAGTCCAGGCTTGATCATCACTAAAGTACTGAACCTGTTCCTGGAGAGCTTAGTAGAGCTCGGAGCTTCGCAACTTCGACAGCCTTGCCATGGGCCGGGCCTGTCGGGTCTGTCACCCGTCGTCTTTGCTCGCAGGCCATCTGTGCGTGAGTGAAACAGCCCTGCAACCAACATAGAGCCCGGCGACTCCTTAGAGGTTGCTCGTGCCAAGTGCTTCAAAGCCTCAACTGTGCCAAAGGCCTGACATCGGACGTCGCTCTCTACACAATCTAAAGGACAGCAACGAAGCGACATTGCAACGTATTGCAATGTCTTGCAAAAGACCGACTCCGCCGTCCTGTCTGAGGCTGTATCAAGGGCCTTTGTGGCACCCTGAACCTCACCACTTCCCAACCACACTTGTGCCGAGTGCTGTCCCAGCCTGCCTCAGCTGCGGGGCAAGACCGGGTGGCCATGTCGCCAGGGCTCCCATACCTGGCCCATGCAGAATAACCCACGATAACCGTCACGCAGGCAGTAAGGGTGTGTTGTGGGAGCCATGAGGCCATACTGGTAGCTGCAATACATATACTTACTGCTCAGACTCTGCTTGCGGCATTGAAGTCGAACCCAGGCGCAGCACTTCGTCGGGAGCAACAATGTGAACCTTCTCCAGCTCGCAGCCTCAGGGTCACGTCATGTCACGTTGGGGGATCCTTCAGGCGGGAAGCAGACGGGCTGCCAAGGCCATGCGGGCAGTTTGGCACGCGCAACCAAGGGGGCAAGGTGGACTGCTTAGTGGCGCAGTGTGGAGAGAAACGCGGCAGTGCGTATCCTGTACGGATTCGGATTGGCTTGGGCCCGTACATTCCGAGGACCACGCCGCTTCCCGCTACATCTTCACGAAGCTGTCACCTGCTGCGGGGCACTCGACTGCGAGGTGACATGCTTATAGTGCTTGTGTGTCCAAGGATGGTCAGCGTTCACTCAGGCCAGATGCTTCTTCCCTGCAGAGGATGATCCTGTCCTCGAGTCGCGTGCTGAGCTTCAAGGTCTCCCTGATCAGAGGCAAAGGTGTCGAGCTGCCGTCCTTCTGTCAGGTACCAGTCCGAGGAGGGCCAGCGCATTGAACCTCGGTGGTACTGTCCAGTGATTCCCCTTGCCTGGGCCTTGTCCTGGGTGGCAGCTGCGGCGTTTGCTGCGGTGGCAGCTGGGCGCGATTGAAGAATGAGCTGACAGGTCCTCGTCAACGGAGCTGAAGGCATCGGCGTCGGCTGGAGCACAGCCGTGCCCAACTACAACCCACGTGACCTGATCGCAAATGTTGGCGGCCCAGATGTCTCCATCCGATACATTCTGCTGCCTTGTACAGATCTGAGCTAGTTGTTGTGTCACTGACAATAAACCATAAACCTGACTGAACACCAGGCCGCTTAGCGACAAAGCACACCTGCAGCTCTTTCGATTCACAGGTCCGCCGCCACCTGCGCGGTGAGCCACTGGAGCCAATGACCCCCTGGTCCCTGACCTGGATATACTTGTATACATTTATTTTTATTATAGACTATATATTATATACTACTATACCTTATATACTGTGTACTATATATTGCACATTATACACTATTTTTTATTTACTATATTATATATTACGTGCTATATATTATATATTATTTAAAATAAACTAATATATATATATATGTATCTATATTTACAATATATATTATATTATATGATAATATATTATATTATATTATATTATATTATGTTATATTATATTATAATATGTTATATATATATATTATTATTATATATATATATATATATTATATATTTATATATATATATTATATATTATAATTTATATATATATCATAAATTGTATATTATATATAGTAAATATTATATATTATATATATAATTGTATGTTATATAATATATATAATATATATATATGTTATATATATGATATATAATATAGAATCTATAATATATAATAATAATATATATATATATAATAAAAATATAATATATAATAATAATATTTTACATATAACTTTTGTTTTTTTATATTATATATCATATACAATATATATTGTATTATATAATATATATTATATTATATATTATATTTTATATATTATATATTATTGATTTTTATATTTTTATTTATGTTTATATATATATATATATAGATATATATATATATACATCATTTTTATACATATTATATTATACATTATGTATATATTGTATATTATATTCTTTATATATTACATTATATATATATATCATATATTATATATTATATATTATATATTATATACTATATATTATATCTTATATATTATATATTATGTATTATATATTATATATTATATAATATATATTTATATTTGTGAGCTGACATGAGTGCATATGCATCTTCTGCTCTGTGATGCATTAGGACTCGGCAGACCACCTTGTAGTTTTCCTTTGCATGTAGAGTTTTGCAATTCGTAACAATGCCAATATTTTGGCTCAAGTACCGAGCTTGTGCCTTTGAGCACGGTAGAGTCGTACAGTAGCTCCTAGGTTGCTGTGCGGTCCGACCGGACGCACTCAGGCGTAGCTGCACAAGTGCTTGGACTCACGAAGTCGTAAAACAGCGTGACCGGGCTGTGATTGCATTGGCTTAGTGCAAGTCCAGTGCTGGTCGACTTCACAATTGGGGGCTGTTCTGGGAAACGTACAGCTCTTGTGCCTACGGCCCGAGTGGGCAAGCATTGCTTTGCTTGTCTGTCGCGGTCCGTGACCTGGACGCGTGGACTGTGTGCCACGCTTGCGGCCTGTTAACCAAGGCGCGGCGCTTCGCGTGCCACGCCTGCGGCCTGCTAACCAAGGCGCGGCTTTTCGCCTTGTGTTGCGGCAATGTCCGCAGAGGTTGCAGGTCAGGCTGAGGGCGTCACCCTCCTCGAAGCTATCGAGGGTGGAGACGTTCCCTATCCCGAGCGGATGAGCTACGTCGCTTGGCTTAAGTGGCGTAGGGAGACTGGCAGCCGTCCATTGTCCAAGCGGGATGGGGTCAGCACTACGCCAGAGCAAGAGGCGGCTCTCTGGCGGAAAGTCATGAAGTTCCTCCATGACGCCGAAGAGGAGGACGAGGATGAAGAGGAAGAAGAAGAGGACTCCGAGCTAGTCCCTGAGGCCTCGGGCGCTGGAGGCGACAGTCCGCCGCGGGTGGACGTCAGCGCCGCGGCTAGGGAGCTGGCCATGGTCCCTACCGGTGCTGCCTATGTCCCTGCTACGGCACCAGGGTCCCGCCCGGCGGGACCGTCCGGTCCGCCGTCGACAGCAGGTTCAGTGCCAGGCACCGCAGAGGGCTTGCAGGCGGAGCTGCGCGCGATTTTCCGTCCAGACCAAGAACCGGTCGCGGACTACTTGACGCGCGTTTCGCGGATTGTCCTCGCGCTGAAAGCGCATGGAGTCACGGTGAGCTCCCGTGACCTTGACGCCTTAAGCACCAAAGCCACCCTCCTTGCGGATGAGTTCTCCAAGATAGGCGGGGACTGGCATCCTACGAAGATGGTCCGTCGGCTGCGGACCAGGTTCTCGGTCGCGGCTTTGCGCGGTGGCGAGGACCCCGAAGACGCAGAGGAGATTCAGCGCGAAATCCAATGCATCGGGGAGCTTATCCTCGCGTTAGGGGGAAAAGAAAGCTCGAGCCAAGAGAAGGTTTGGAGCTCCCCGTCCGATGTGCCAGTTGAAGCCGTGGGGCCGCGTTCCCCAGGGCTCCCACAGCCTGCGACTGCAAGTGGGTTGGGGGTAGGATTGGACCGTGGAGGTTTGCACACTGCTGAGGTTGCAGGTGGTCCTTCCGCGGCCCGTGTCCTGGGCGCGACGGACGGCGATTCCCCTTTGCGCGCGAAGCTTGCTGCGCTAGAGATGGAGATAGAAGCCCTGAAGCGAGGTTCAGACGGCGGAGGTTCGCAGACCGGGTCCCAACACCCGGCGGGCGATCTCGCCGCCGCACTCGCCGCCCAAACTGAGGCGCTGAAAGAAGCGTTAGCGCAGAGGGGCGGGCAAAGCTCCATAACTACGGTCAAAACTGACCTCACGTGGCCGACGCTGACCGACGACAAGTCGGACGCGCGAGACGTTGTCCTGTTCTACGAGGAGTTCGAGGACGTCTGCGCGCTGGCCAACAACTGTCGCGGTATGAGTGCGCGCGAAAAGCTGTTAGCGCTACGCGGGCGCTGCCGCGGCTCGCGCATGAAGACGTACACGAACGCGTACCGCGCAGCGTGGAAATCGGGAGAGGTTCTCTCAGATCCACAGGCGGTGTATGACCGCATCAAGAACAAACACTTGATGTTCGGGGAATCGCGGGAGGAAAGAGAAGTCCGCGTGGATGGTGAGCACGCCTCTCTCGCTAAGGGTAAGCTCACAGGCCACCAATTCGAGCCTTTGTTTGAGGCCTCGATCGCGGACCTTGAGGCAGTAGGTCTCGGGAAGACCCCTCGAGAGTTGTATCTCTCATACCTCCGCAAGATGCCCCCTTATCTCCAAAAGGAGATCCGGAACGACAAAAGGTTGTGGCCTGGCGACCCCAAGGATGGCGGGTTGCGAGGACCGCAGACTTGGGAGGAGAGCCACAAAGTCGTTCTGGAGTACGAGCAGAGAGAAGCAGCGCACAGGGCTGTTTCCCACTCTGTGTACACGGCCACCGGTTCGCAGAGCGCGGACCCGGCGGTCGCGCTGGCTGAGGCTCAGAAGGAGATTAAGAGTCTCAAGGCCGCTGCGAAGGCTGCTGCGAAAGGAGCAGCTGCCGTGGCAAAGCTGGCGCGGACCAGACGTATGCTGCTACGTCGAAGGGAGCTGGCAAAGGAGCGGACAAGAAGATCTGCTTCCACTTTCGCGATCATGGGAATTGCCCGAAAGGGGATGCCTGCCCGTACAGCCACGACAAGGAGCTTCGCAGAAAAGCTCTCGCGGCCAAGAAGGGTGACCAAACCTTTGCCACTGCGAAAGGTAAAGGCAAAGGGAAGGGAGGTGGCAAAGCAAAAGCCAACGCAAAGCCTAAGGCTGCGGCCAAAGGCGCGGCAAAGCCACCAGGCACTGTTTGCCCCTTTTTCTCCAAGAATGGGTCGTGCAAGAAAGGAGCCAGCTGCGACATGGTCCACAACCTGACGACCTCAGGAGGGACGCCGGCCTTGCCTGCCAACTGGGCCCCGCCCTCCGGTGCTTCCATGTCTAACCCCTTCGCCGCGTTCAGTGTCCAGATAGGCAGCTCAGGCGTCCAGGCAGGCGTCCTAGGAGCCGCAGGACACGCCGCGGTGCAGCAGCACGCGCTTCCGTTAAGCAAGGGCGGGCGGGACAAGTTCGCCACCTTGGACGATCTACCGAAGGACTGGTGGAACCTGGCGGACAACGAGCCAGGAGGCTACCAGTACAGAACGGTGGTCCAGGTCCTCGACCGCAAAGTCGAGTGCATGCTTGACGGTTGCGCCGGCGCAAACCACGTGACTGAGGAACTCGTGGTAGGCATGATGAACCGGGCTGCAGAGCTTGGGATCGGCACTGAGGATCCTGGCTTTCCGGTCGTGAGACTTGAGAAGTGGGTCCACCCCGAATATGTGCATGGAATCGCATCGGGGGCCCCAGTTCCTTTGAAAGGGGCAGCAGTCTTGCGCGTCACGCTGCTGGAAGGCAAGACGGCGGACGATTGTCGCCCCAACACCGAGATTTTTGTGCGGTGTAAAATCGCAGCCAGAGGCACGTCCGATTGGCACGGACTTATCCTTGGCGGCAGAGCGCTGGACTGCGCCGGAAGGATGGGCTTGGGATTCAGGCCGGGTCCCGACTTTCATGTCCTCGACACGCTGGGAATCAGGATGCCCAGATGTGAGGATCACAGTAGGACTCGGAAGGACAGGGCCTATGCCTTTGAAGCGCGGTTGTCAAGCCTGGACGACGCGTCATGCATCGAGCCTGGGGGCGGAAGTCGTGAGCTTCTCCGCTATGACGGGGAAGAGCCGCTCGAGCTCTCGCCAGGTGATGGGGTGCTGGTGCCAGTCGTGCGGGAGTCAGGAGTCTCCGCAGAGGGATCCCTGTCCGAGGTTGTGCTTCCGGTTGAGTGTGGGGTTGAGGCTGTGCCAGGTCTCTGGCCCACAGGAGAGGGTAAAGGGTTTGTTTTGCTTGCAGCCCAAGAGTGTGATCACTCTCTCCAGCCAGGCGAGGTTGTTGCGGAAGTGCGTTCCGGCCTCGTCAGCACTGCGGCTTGTGGTTGTGGCGCGATTGAGACGGTGTTCGAGTCAGAGCCGTCTCCGCAGGCATGTGCGGATTGTGGGGTCGCCGTTGCTTCGGTTGACCATGACCCGTGCTTTGCTTGCGGGTCCGCGTCCAGGGCCGCGGCAAGAAGCTTCCAAGGTTGTTCCTCGTGTGCGCGGTCCTTTGGGCGGCTGCGTACCGGCGCCAGGATCGGTGTGCTATCGGTCCTTGCTGCGGTGACTGTTCTCGCTTCGGTGTGGGGCGGGAGCG